TGTTGAAATCCTTGCCGATGTTGAGCTCTTGCAGGGGCTCCGATACATACCGACACAGACTGACCGCTTTACTGTCGCTAGTATTGCCGGCAATTCTTTCATACCCAGCATTGTCGAGGAATTCATTCCCTCCCATGCCGGTTGTGTTCTTCTGTATAGCGGAGTGTGCTCCCTTGAGCATCTCTCAAAGGCATACGCTGGCTGAGCTAGTCGAATTTGTTGAACCCAGCGTAGCTGCAGATGCGTCTGCCCGAAAGCTCACGGAAAGACAGCTTTCCTTCATTCATCATATCTGCACAAGCAGCCACTTGCTAGGGTTGACTCCCTTTTTGTTTTACTCGAAGCCAATGCTGAGGTCAACGGGGACCGCCCTAATGAGTCGCTGCTGGCTGAGATCTCTCATTTTGATCACAAGTGTGAGATATTATCAGTCCTATGCCTTGTGTCAAGGAATGCAGGACTCGAGCTCTTTGTCGCTGGTGACTTCAATGGACTAAGTGTCAAACAACCCGATGCATGGGATCTTCTAGTATCCGAAGGCCTCCTGCGCCAGGTGTCGCTGCGTGTTGATACGTACCGCTCGGGTCCACACTCCTCGCAGCTTGACCTTCTACTTTTTTTTGGCGTGAGTGGGCCTCGTCGACTACAGCTGTAGCTCTCGGTCCCTACAAACCAACAAACCAACAAACCAACAAACAAACGAAAACAGCGGTGAAACGAAGCCTAATTAAGAGGGCGGAAGCTAGCTGCGGCGCACAGGGTTTGCCGGTGAGAGCCGTTCAGCATAAACTACGGGTCCTCAGCGACCGTTTCACAACAACAGTGAGCCGTCGCCCAAAGTTGTCCAAGATCTACGGTGGAGCCCAAGCCAAAAGCTCCGGCCGCCGTTCTAGTTCCGTCGAACAACGGTCGGCCCCGAGATCCTGTTGTGTCCCGATCGAGCACGGAAAATCCACAAGTCCAAGGCAAATGCTAGGAAAGACGCTTCGACGTATGTCGAAAGTCGTGGGCATTGGGATTGACCGAACAGAGCCATTGGCCAATGGCGGCGCTCCGATTTGACGGTGGCAATGGCTCCAACCGACATTGCATGAAGCCCCAAGTGGGCGCGTTGATCCATAAGTCCACGGCGAGTGCTAGGAAAGACACTTCGACGTATGTCGAAAGTCATGGACATATGATTAACCGAGCGGAGTCGGTTGCTTAATAAGCGCGCTCCGAAGTCGATGGTGGCCATTGATCCAACAATCGTTGCATGTCGCTACCAGTGTTGGGGAAATGTGACTCCCGCAGAAGGTACAGCAGCTGGTACTGCCCTTCATCATACAGTTCTCTGATGCGGCGATAGCCGTACTGCAGCGTGTCCCTGTCGGGCTCGTGTAGATACGGCATGAGCTCCTCCGAGATGAACGGGAGCTGAAGGCCCGGGCCAATTCCCCCCTGCTCCTTGAAAGTTTGGGCTGCAATGCGCCATTCGTTCTGTCCCCAAGGACGGCCAAGACGAAACCGTAGCTGGCGACCGTCAGGCAAGGCCTCTTGGTTGGATTCTTGTGCTACCAAGCGATGGATGAGAACTTGGGCCCTGCAGTCCCAAGCATCGAAGAGGCCATATCGCCATAGCCGGTCAGGGAAGTAGAAGTCCATTTTGCGAGGGCCACGCAACCAAAAAACGACAACAGCGCTGAGCTCCCAGCCATTAGTGGTTGCCGCTGCACGAAGACGAAACAACGCGGCACGCACTAGCTCCGCAGACTGGAGAGGGAGCGTGGGCTGCGCTTGTAAACCCAGGGAAGCGTCGTCGAGTGGGAGCAAAAAGCGAAAAGTGCCTTTACACACGCCCGGATACGAGAACATTTGAGGATCGAAATCTCCTCGCCTGGCAGGGAGGAGTCCACGATGGAAGCTCCCCATCATACGGGCCGCAATCGCAATTTGAGGCTGACCCACAAGTGAAGACGGCACCTCAGCCTTAACCCTGATCTCCACAAACCGCAAGCCATTGTGCTCAACTGGCGCTACGCGAACAAGCTGTAGGAGGGGAGCTGCCTCCGGCTCGTCTGTCAAGACTCTGGCCAAATAGAGCACTAACTGGACCGGAAGCAAAACTCCGCAGTGAAGAAGAGGAGTGCCTTGTTGCGGATCGACTTTCGGAGTCTCCTCAGCCGCGGGTCGCCGATTGCCAGATGCGGCACTACGGTGGCGTTTGCCGGTTTCCGCCGGCCCTTTCCGAGGCGCAAGCGACATTTGGATGAGACTACCGTCCCGGACAGGTGACTTGATCCCTGCCTTGGCATTGGGAAGCGAGAACCTGAGTCCATCCAGTTCATAGCAACCACCACCAGATCTCCGGCCGCGCCAGTTCATACCACGATAAGTTAAAGACGCGGCCTTCAGGCAGCCGTGGAACCGAGTCACAGAACTGAGCCAGCGTAATAGAAACTGCCAACAAAGGTGTAAGGCATACCCTGAAGGCCTCACTGGCCGTACAGTGTCGCAGCATAAGAGCGCGATCGGCAAAGTCCACAACTCGCGCGCCGAAGTTTTGGGGGCTGATTTTCACCTCACATGCCGGCAAGGAAAGGGGCATCGAGAGAAGGGAGAGGCAGTCCGGCAAGCAGGAAAGAAGATCTCGCAGAGCGAGTACACACCAGGAGCTGCTGTTGCCCACCTCTGGTTTGACAGCAACGCAAGATCTCATGCTGCTCCGTAAACCTCTTCAGGCGGGACACATTTGCTGGGAATGACGTCAACCCCTGGCACCAGGCGATCGGGCGGAACGTTGACGGCGTCCAATAATGCAGCTGCGCGCTGGCTCCACACAGTATCGGGAGCCTTGAGGATGGACGCGACACAAATTTGACTACGCAGCTCGACCGTCAAGCGGGTCCTCTTTAGCCGGTGTGCCATCCGGCTCGGGCAAGGCAAATCCATCCGTGTCGTAGAGGGCGCTTCTCGGGATTTGAGCTCCTCCGCTTCGCGCGGCTTTGCCACGCCATCACCTACGCGAGCTGCCAGGAGCTTACGCTCCGAGGACGCGTGTGGCTCTGCGACGCCGACAACCCGCACTTCTCGGTGAAGCGCCTCTACGTCGGGGCCTCGCAGGCCACGAGCGCGGAGCTACTCTCCGCTTGCTGATTTGCGACGCCATTTCGGCTCGCACCAAAATCGAGGTACCTTCTCCGCATAGATGGTGCCAATGGATACTCCATATTTCGGCGCGCTACAAAATCGAGGTACCTTTTCGGGGTACCTCCTCGAGATATTTTCGAGCGAGTCCCACAGGCCTGCAGTCTTCGACTCCGCAGCCCGCCCAGACACACAGGCCAGACGGAGGTGGCGAGGCTTTGGAAGCGCTCCATTCCCTGGACGTCTCCCCAGTGCCTCACGGACCGACGCGCAGAGTCCTCAGGAGTCCAGGCGAACCTGACAACCGCACCGCCGTACCGCTTTCCAGCGACTTCCACGATTCTCTCAACCGCAATGCAGCGTGGGGTGGAGGATACTCTCCACAGAGAGAGAGCAGTCCTGTTACAGTGGCAAACAACGGTGCTTAAGCAGCCCAATCGCCAGGGTAGCAACGGAGCGTTTTGATTGATTTCAACAGACGCGGTCGCTCGCGACACTGGTCGCCGCATGTCGGGCAAAACTTTGGTAAAGCTTCAAACACGTCTCCTCCCAGAATTCTGCAGTTTTTGAGCTCGGGTTGGTTCCCATTTTGACGCCAAAAATTAGTTCCCAAAGCTGAGACCGCCTGATTGAAAACTATTAGGGGAGACCGCATTTTGGGCTTCGTTTTTGGAGCTCGAAAATGGGCTCATAAAGTCTCGTTTTCGATCCTCCCCGAAGTCCTGCCTGATCTTTCCCAAAACTCTCGGCCAAGACCCCAGATAGACTGCACTACAATTTTTTGCACATGCCACGCCTCATGTTTTTGCGTGTGTGCTCCTCCAAACGCTTGCTTTGGACATCATCGAACTTTGCTTCTTCCCAGCTTTTGGCTTCAAGATGGGGAAAGGAAAAGGGAAGGGTAAGCCCGGGAAAGGGCAGAATGCTCCTTTTCAGGACCCGGTCATAGAGCAGAGGTACCCGGCCCTTCTGCAGCAGCGGTTCAGTGAAGGCAAATCTGCAATATCGAGGGGCCAGGTACTCCAGGCAAAGCACTCATTCAGGTAGTGAGCGTGACCCCCCGGCTAACGGCCCGAACTTGTCAAGATCAGTGACGCGAACTGTTGCACTGTTGCGTGAACCCTCCCCCAAATCCTGCCTTGCAGATTCTGCTCTAAACTCTGCAAATCCTTCCCTAAACCTCCCCTTTTGCATTCCAAACCCTGCCCCGCAGATCAATTCCCAATGCCTGCAGCACAAATTCCATGTTCTTCGTTCGCATTTCCAGTCTTTGGTCCTGCAGGCCCTTCCTCCGTCCACAGCTTCTCTACCCTGCCACATTTTCGACGAGCTTTACGAGCCCATTTTCGGGGCCCGAAAAACAACAAAATCAATTTACCTTAACCGAAACCAGAAAGGGAGCCAGGAAACGCGGGGCAACTGGCGTCAGGGGCGAAGTCTAAAGAACTGCAGCGTGCACAGTACGAGCACTGAAAGCTAATGGCATCCATTGATCGGCTTCGAGGTACAGAAGAACCCGGGCGAAGGTTTTGCCGTGAAAGCCACCATGTGTCCTTGCAAAATGAAATTCTTGAATCCACGCCGGCTGCACAACGTTCAAGGCGAGGCACAGGAAAAATGCGCAAGCGAATGCGAACAGGCTGGAAGACTGTGACCGGGAAATTACTGTGATGTGTCTTACGCAGATTTCGTCGACCTCTTCGTCCTATCGGACTGTTTGGGTTGCTTTGCAGCCCTTCAAAGCCAAGAGGTTGTTCGCAACCCGGATGTCCCGTTCCGAGGACCAGTTGAGGATTGCGGCGATCTCTGGAATTTAGGAGGTTGTCCTTTATGATCCAAACGACTTGGCCGATCATTGCTTGAAACTCAGCGGGATGCTGGTGCCAGAACACCAAATGGTGGCCATCTTCGACTGTGCAAAGAAGGCAACCATTACTTTGAGCGGTCCTGCGACTACTTGAAGTTCGCGAAGTGGCAGGTTCAGGTCAACCATGGCAAGCCGCTGCGGGTGCTCGAGAAGGACATGTACAACTATGTCTGTCAGTTTCGAGCATCCGAGGCAGCGCCGACTTCGGCAGCGGCTTTCATTTCAGCCTGGCGTTTCTTCCACTTCACCACTGTCAGCGAGTCGAGGGGGCGGCCCACACGTGTTACTTGAAGAAGCAGCCTCTCAAACAAGCTCCTCCGTACAAGGTGTCGGCGGTCAGAAGCTGTCTTTGCAGGCAGCGACTTGCATGCGGTGATCTGTGGATTCGGGCTGTTCTGCCTTTTCTCTACTGCAAGGTGGGGGGACGCGGCCAAGGCCACCGGTCTCAAGGTGGATTCCCACGGACGTGTGTTCTTAGTGGAGGCATTAATGCTTGGCCACAAGACGGCCAAGAAGGCTGACGACAGAACGACATTCATGCCCCTCATCGCCCTGGGACACACTTTCGGAGGAACCTTGGGCAACAGCTTGGTTGAGTGCCCGCTCAAGGATGGGTCTGGATGAGAGCGGGATCCTCATGCCTGCTTATTCGGAGCAGTCGGGTGCTTGGATGGACCGGCACATGACCTCGGCGGAGGGCTCGGCATGGTTGCAGGAGATCTTGTGCGACAATGGCATGGACCCTGATGAGGTCAAGGACCTGACCACCCATTCGCTAAAAGCCACGCCATTATCGTGGGCGACCAAGTCGGGGAAATTTAGCAAGCATGAGAAGCGGGTACTGGGGCATCATGTGGCTCCTGGCGAAAAGATGATCGTCACTTACGGTCGTGATGTGATGACGCCCGTCTTGGCAAAGCTCCAACATCTTGTTGATGCCATCAGAAGTGACCAGTTCGACCCGGATCAGCCCAGGGCGGCCAGGTTGCACAGCCTCGTTCAAAAATTGAACGAGGAAGCAGACATCGAGCCTCCAACCGAGCGCCAAGTCAGGACTTGGAAAAGCTCGATGAATCTGAGTTGTCTGATGTCTCAGCCGAAGACCACGATGGACTTGGAGCGTTGCCCAGCCTGGTGCCCGGTCTCAGCGAAGATCGTGAGCCGCCAGAGACGGGAGCCTACGTTCGCCGTCGGATTTCTTATATCGTTCATGCCATCGGGACCCCTGCCTCCATGCTGAGATGCGGGCGTACCTTGAATGGGAATTACGAGAAATACACATTTAACCTTATGAGATTATTAGGGCCACACAAGGGGGTTTCCAAAAAAATTATTTTTGCACATTTATTGCATATTTTTTGTGCGTCGCGTTTGCGTATTTTTTGCATGTGTTTTTTCGTTTGCAAATATTTTGCAAATATTTTGCATATTTTTTGCGTTTTTTTTGCATGTGTAATTTTGGGTGTTTAAATGCAAAACAGCCACAAAGATATGCAATACACACTGCGTTTTGCATATTTTTTGCGTTTTTTTTGCATGTGTAATTTTGGGTGTTTAAACGCAGGTGTTGCAAGGCTGCTGCCAGGGCCCAGGGCCCAGGCACGCTAAAAATATGCAAAAAATGTGCAAAACACACTGTGTTTTGCATATTTTAGGGGTGCCGGGCCCACCGGCTGGGCCAGGGCACGGCCCGTAAAATATGCAAAACACAGTGTGTTTTGCACATTTTTTGCGTATTTTTGGCGTGCCGGGCCCACCGGCTGGGCCAGGGCACGGCCCGTAAAATATGCAAAACACAGTGTGTTTTGCACATTTTTTGCGTATTTTTGGCGTGCCGGGCCCACCGGCTGGGCCAGGCACGGCCCGTAAAATATGCAAAACACAGTGTGTTTTGCACATTTTTTGCGTATTTTTGGCGTGCCGGGCAGGTTAAGAACCGTGCGATGCAAAAAAATGCAAAAAATATGCAAAAAATATGCAAAAAATATGCAATAAATTTGCAAAAGATTTGCAACACAAAAAAAACATGCAAAAAATATGCAAACCCGACGTGCAAGAAATTTGCAATCAATTTGCAAAATATCCGCAAAATAATTATTTTCAGTTTCATAGGCTGTAGCCTGCTAATAATCTCATAAATTTAACCCACGGCAGCCGGGCGAAGACGTCTTTTGTGAACAATGCAGATCCGCCCGAGCCCCATGGGATCAAGCCGCCTGACCAATGGAACGTTTGGCAGGAAAAACAAAAGAGGCATCGAGCTTGGCCGGCATTGCCGATGTGATGAACGCAACCGGGTGAGCGTGACGACGCGACTGTAAGCTTTTGCTTCAGTTAGAGTTTTTGCTTGCTGGGAGATCTCCTGAGCCATGGCGTCTACCATGCTAGAGTCTGAGGCCGAATTCACGGCCCGAGCCCAGGCCATCAACATGGAGGCGACCTTCTTAGATGCTCTCCAGAAGGTCGGCATCAAAACGTTTGGGCGCTTGGCTTACATATGTGCTGTGAACCCTCAGAGCGGCGATGATAGCGGTCTGATCACAGCGGTCGAAGACTTGATCAAGCGGAAGCTCGACCCAGCCGAGATTCCTGACTTGAGGAGGCTCTGGTACGAGGCCAACACGTTTGCCATATCGGATCTCAAACAGAGAGTCGAAAGATCATCCCTCGACCCTCCTCGCGAATTACCTCTTGCTGAGAGAATGACCAGACTTCAAAGTCAGAAGAAGAGGCTGCAGGGGGTTGTTCACGGAACGGGTGGAACCGTCTCATGGGCTCATCGACAAGATCCAATCGATGATCGACTCCGGCACTCTTATCTACCTGCCGCCTCACAAGTGCCCGTCGCGAGCCTTGGAGATCTCAGCCGATCGTCCTGGGCAACAGGTGACGCTGGACGCTCAAGGAGGGCTGAAGGTGTCGAAAAAGCAGCTTGAGCTCGAGTGCGATGTGAATGGCGAACTTCGCCTCCGCGAGGCCTTTACTAGAAGAGCCTTGGCCTTTGACCAGCTGAACGTCCTGTCCTTTTCGGTTCATGAACAATGGCATACTCACATGTTCGATGCCATCACGCGTGATCCCCCGCCGGGGCATAAGTTCACAAGCATCGCTCAGGCACTGAATGCTGATCGTGAGCTGTGGCAGCTCATTGCTCAGGAAAGCCGAGGCGAGCTCAAAGTTGTCACCGGCGCCGACCCGCCGTTGGATAAGTTCATGGCCGCCTTGTCCACACACACCCGCGTGAACATCTGCCTCGCCAATCTCCCGAAAGGCTCCGGAAAGGGTCAGGGGGGCAAGACAGATCATGGGGGCAAGACAGATCATACGGGCCAGGAGGCAAAAGGGGGCCGTGGTCGCGGCGGCAAAGGCGCCAAGGGCGACAAGGGCAACAAGAGGAAGTGGGATGATTCCGTGGACCCCAAGCGCGCTGAGATTCTGCAGTTGCTCAAGGAGATGCCCAAGGGTTGTGTGTCACGCATGCCGAAGACTCGGCAATTCCTATGTGTCCTGTTCCAGCATGGCAAGTGCCCTCATCAGTCTAAGGATCGCTGCGACCGCGGACTGCATAACTGCTGGCATAAGGACTGCTTGCGCAAAGGAGTCCCTTACGGTGAGTGCAAGCACTCGTGACTAGGCCCTCCGGGCCTGCCCACTACTGACGTGGCACCATATGCAGTTTTCGTCGAGTTATGCTGCGGCTCGGCCATTTTGTCCCACGCAGCTGCATCCCAAGGATGGCAGGTGTATCCCATCGATCATCACAGCAACCGATTTGAGTCCCTTGTTTCTTTTCTCCCGCTTGACCTCAGCACACTCTCCTCGCGTAAGCTTGTGGATGACCTCATCCATCACGTGCGGCCGCTCTGGATCCATTTCGGCCTTCCTTGCGGCACCTCGAGCCGAGCCCGCCAATTGCCAGTTAGCCCCGAGCTGCGTGCCAAGGGAGTCCCCGCCCCTAGGCCTCTTAGGTCGGCTAGGTTCCCCTTAGGGTTACCTCTGTCGCCGCTTGAGCGCCAACGCGTGGAGTCAGCCAACGCTGTCTATGTGACTTGCGTTCATGCGCTCTTCGCAGCTTGGAAGGCCAACGCTCTCATCACCATTGAGAACCCGTCTCGGGCCTGGACTTGGGCGGCTTTAGCTCAGCTTGTTACCCGCTTCGGACGTGACCATGGCTGCCCCGACTTCGTTGACTGGTTCTTTGGGCTTGAAGATGTCCATTTTTCTATGTGCATGCACGGGGGCCAACGCAAAAAGGACACGCGTTTGAGGTCCAGCCCAGGCGCCTTCAGCTCCTTGGCCTTGGAGTGCGATGGACTTCACGATCACGCCCCATATGGGCACCAGTGGTCGGGAGGCAGGTGGAACTTCGACACAGCTTCTGAAGCGCAATACCCGCGCTTGTTGTGCCAGCGTCTTGTGTCCGCAGCTACTGCCGCGGTTTCGCCTGCGCTCCTGGATGCCACGAGGCTGCACTTTCGTCTGGACTCCTTGGCTGCTGTTGGCGCCCAGACGGTGAAACATCAGCCTTTGATACCGGAGTTTAAATCTGTCGTGTGGAGCGCTGATCGCCCGAATCAGCCATGCAAGCCCTTGCCGGAGGTCCCGTATTCTCAGTGCGACAACTGCCACGCCGCCCCCGGGTGGCGTGCCGTTGTCCCTTGCCATTTCTCTTGAAACCCCTCTGAGTGCCGAGCCGGCTGAGAAGCTAGCGTGGACCATGCTACAAGACCGCGTGGCGTCCCGAGATCAGGTCCTTCAGATGGTTTCCTTGTTGTCGCAGTCTCCCAGTTCGAGGCGCGCCAAGCAGCATGAGGGCTTGGCTTGGATGACTGGGGCCTATGTCTTCGGACCTCAGGCTGGGCTGCATGGGGCCTCCTCTACTATGCCCTCGGTCAGCTGCGTTTTAGCCCAGCTGGCCCGACACTTCGCCCCGCAGGCTGCTTTTAGCGCTTTGGCGGTCTTCTCTGACTTCTACAGCCCTCGGCATGTGGATCAACACAACGATCATTCCTTCCTGAATGTGGTCATCCGCGAGCGCAGTGCGTTCTTGCCTGCCACTTTGCGGAAACTGCAGTGAACCCAGTGCACTCCTCTGGTGTGCGCATTGCGCTGCCTCTGTTGGTCTTCGTTCTGGGGACCGCTTGCGTTCCTCGCGTGAGCGCTCTCGTGTAGAAGCCAAGGCCATTGGCTCTTGCTTCTTCCCAGGCCCCGTGCCAGAGGCCGGCCGGCGCAGGCAGTCTTCTATTAACGGACTTGTTCTCGCCGAACACGGCTTGGCGCTAGACACGGCCTGGCCCAAATCCCTGCCAGTGGCAGTGGCAGCCCGCTGGAAACCTGCCCCCGGTCTAGTAGACCACGCGCCGCACTCAGCACAGAAACTCCGTTTGCCGTGGGGCAGCTCCAGTGGCCCAGTCGGCCCCAGCCCCGCCTGGAGCTTTCGCCCAAGCTCGTGCCAGCAGTGCCGGCCACACCGCAAGCAGCTGCTCCAGCAGATGCCTTGCTCACAGGGGCTTCTTCCAGTGGAAGTCGTGCGGAGCCCGTGGTTCCCAGCCCAAACCAACCGTCAGAGACGGTCTTGGTTTCGGCTCGCCCACCCTGGACCGGGAGCGGTCTAGGTGAGGTCTGGGATAAGGAATGTCTTGGACGAGGCATGCAGCTGTCAGTGATAGACGTCGCAGCGCGCTCGTCTCTACACAAGGCCGTGATAGTATCAACAGGCAGTGGACATGGAGGAAACTTTGCAGTGCAGGGCGGCCTTCTTTCGAGTCCCCGCCGACAGCAACATAGCTGACGGTCCTAGCCTTAGAGGCTAGCAGTAGCGGAGAACAACTGACTCTGTGACGTTTTAGGTTCACAGTTTTCAGGCCTAGCAGGCTCTGCTCGCGCTGTCTTCACAGTGGGTTCACATCATTCGGCTTAGTAGCCTCTGTTTCTGCATCTGCCTCGTAGGCACGCGCCAGTGGCGGAAAACAGCTGACTCTGTGACCTTGTAGGCTCACAGTTTCCAGACCTAGTAGGCTCTGTTTAAGCTGCCTTTACGGTGGGCACCAATAGGCCCTGTTTTTCTTTCCCTTTGATAGGCACGTGTTCGTCCGTGCAGGAAAAGGGCCGATAGCTGTCTTTGTGACCTAGTAGGTTTACAGTTTTCGCGCCTGGTAGGCTCTGTTCGCGCTGGCTCCAATTATCCGGCTTAGTAAGCTTTGGTTTTGCATCGCTAAGTCTGCGTGGGGCATCCCAAGGGGCCCAGTCGGCCCCAGGCCCGCCTCTCGGCTTCGAAGAGGTTCGGGAAGTCTCGCCCAGGGTCTTTCCGGCAGTACCGACCGCACCGCAAGCACGTGCCTTAGCAGAGGCGTTGCTCACAGGGGCTTCTTCCAGCGGGAGTCCTGCGGGGCCAGTGGCCCCCGGCCCAGACCAACTGTCAGAGACGGTCGTGGTTTCGGTTCGCCTACCTCCGGTTGAGATGAATGTCTGGGGCGAGGCATTCAATTGTCAGGGGCAGAAGTCGCCAAGGCCTGCCGGCCTGGGTCGGCTTCCCGCTTGTGTGCCCGGTAGGCAGGTTGTTTTCAAGCAGGCCTGCTGGCCTCTAGCCTAGCAGGCTTGTGTTGTGTCTCGTCACCGGTAACAGAGAGGAGACTCTTGCAACCTCGCAGGCCCGCGGCCTTTAGGCCCCCCAGCGGCCTCATTAAGCCTCGTAGGTCTCACGCGCCGAGTCGGCATACGATCGTCAGAGGCAGATGTTGCCAAGGCCTACTGGCGCGAGGCCTAGTCGGCTCTCGTTAACGTGCCTGGTAGGCACGTTATTCTACGTCAGGCCTAGTAGCCCCAAGCCTCCCTGGCTTGTTGTTGTGTCATCGCGATGTGAATCGTCAGTGAAAGTGATGACAGGAGACTTCTGTGGCCTTGTAGGCTCCCAGCTTCAAAGGCAACTGGCCCCAAACCTAGTAGGATTCTCCTTATGTCTGCCCAGTCGGCGCGTGGTCATCACTGGCAGAGAGGTCTTCACTGGTGTCCCTATGGCCTTGCAGCTCACAATTTTCTGGTATAACAGACTCAGGCCTAGTAGGCCTCTTGTTCTGTCTGCCTGGCAAAAGGAGCGCCCACAAGTGACTCCTGAAACCTTGTAGGCCGCCAGGCCCTAGGCCTAGTAGGCCTGCCCTGTAGCGCCGTCGCGCGAGGTGCTGCTTAAATTGCACTTCAAATGGTCGCGTTTTGCTGACTTTCCTGTCCCAGGGTCAACTGCGAGTCCCTAACGGCCCGCTGCGAGTCTCTAAGGGCCCCACAGCGAGAGCCCAGTGGCCAACCATGCGGTTTTCTTGGCGGCAGCATGCGCCCTGCAGTGCCCTGCCTAGCCCTGCGCACAGCAGTGCTGCCAACCACGCCGCTTGGGACTCTTGCGCGGAGTCCGCGCCGTGCCCTGCAGTGTCTGCAGCACTGGTTCAACTGCGCCTTTGGCGGCGCGACTGGCGCGCGAACAGCAGTGAAAGTAACGCTTTCACTCCATACGCCAGGGCAGTGCCCCGGAGATCTGTTACTTACCAGGGCGGTGCATCGACTGACCTCAGTGAGGCTTTAGGTGCTTTCCTTGCTGAATTGCCTCAGTGAGGCAGTTGTAAAACTGCTGGGAGCAATCTGGCAGAAACCGCAGCTCGTGTTCCACCCTATCTGCTCAGCCTCAGTTGAAGCGTGCTGAGCTTTGGAAGGCTCCGGTGGAAACTGTTTTCTACCGCACCTGACTCACAGTGCGGGCAGGTGGTTTCAAGCCTAAATTTGCTCGTAAATGGCGAACCTTTTGGTGCAAGGACCCGCTGCGAGTCCCTAAGGGCCCCTGCGAGCTGCTAAGGGCCCCCTGCCCGCTGCTTTTCTGTGGGCTCGCGTTAGTAATGACGAGCTTCTGTGTTGCTTTAAGACAGCGCCGCGCAGTGCGCGCACAAGGCCCCAGAGCCTGATGTTACTTGCACTGCTGGCCCCAACCGAGACTGGGGGAAGAACATTGCACATCAAACGCAGTGCGCTGCTCTGCCGCGCAACGCGCAACGAAGGGGCTTGTATCACCCGTTCGTGCCCGCTGCTGCAGTGCAGCAGCCGCCGCTTCTCAGCTCTGGGAGGCACAAGTGCAGACTCCTTTCTCCAGCACCTGTCTCACAGTGCGAGCAGGTACTTTTAGTCCTTAAATTGCCTGCAAATGGCCGATTTTTTGTTGTACAAGCCCGCTGCGAGTCCGTAAGGGCCACTGCGGGTTGCTAAGGGCCCTCTCCCTTGCTCTTTTGCAGGCATAAACGTCGTGTGAATCCCCACGTCTGTTCCCCAAGTGCGGCCTTGGAGCAGTGCCCATAGGCAAGGGAATCGCAAGCACCCTGGGGGCTACAGATTAGCCGCCACGTAGCGACCCAGTGGGTCGCTAGAGCTCAGAAGCAACAGCTCGTTTCGAGTGCGAGCTGCTGCCATACTTGCTGAGCCTACAGTTGTGGGCGAAGCACATAGCAGGCAGTGACCTGTTCGTGTGGATTGACAATGACGCAGCGCGTACATCCCTACACAAAGCCTTCACAAGCAAGGCGGCAGGCGCCGCGATAGTATCGCAGGCAGTCGACGTGGAGGAGTCCCTGCAGTGCAGGGCTGCTTTCTTCCGCGTGCCCACCGTCAGCAACATTACTGATGGCCCCAGCAGAGACTGGTGGGAAGAGACTGAGAAACTTGGCGCAGAGCGCTAATTCCTTCCTCCCAACGCAGTGCTGTTGGCCTTGTCACTCGGCGCGGACTAGATGGGGGGTGAGTAAGGCTTCGAGTGCCTTGAAGGGGGGTGAACCAGTCGTTCGCCTTACCTGCGACCAGCGGTCGTTCTTTTCAGACAGATGCCAGCGGCATCCTTCGTTTCAGTGCCCGAAGATCGGGCCCGAACTGACCCCCCATGTCCGCTAGGAGAAAAAAAGAGAGTGCTTGCACAGGGTTTAACTGCAGCGCGGTTAAGGGTTTCCCGTTACGCGCGCAAACGGAAGTTTCGTTGGGAAATAAGCTTCCATCATGCGTGCGTGAATGGGTTTTATTTCCCGCCGAAAGTGTAGACAAAGTTTTGTCGTAAAAGGAAAACAGTGTTTTCACTTGTGTGTTGTGAACACTAGACAAACTTTGCCGTGCAGCTTTCGGCTTGAAGTGGATCTGTGATCCAAAAGTTTTTATCCCACCCACCACACCCTGTATAGTATGCGGGGTCTGGGACCACGCTTGTGGCAGCAGAGCTGCCGGAGCAGCGCTCCTTGTTCTATCTCTAGCAGAGATCTCATCTTCAGCACAGCGTGCTTTGCTGTACATAGGCCGTAGGCCGTCAACAACGCAGAGTAGCTAGTAGTAGACTGCAGCGACCCTGTGGGTCGAAGAAAGTTTCACCTTTGTCTCCAGTAGTACTGAGACACCCCTGGTAGGGGGCAGGAGGGGGGTGAACCAGTCGTTCGCCTTACCTGCGACCAGCGGTCGTTCTTTTCAGACAGATGCCAGCGGCATCCTTCGTTTCAGTGCCCGAAGATCGGGCCCGAGCTGACCCCCCATGTCCGCTAGGAGAAAAAAAGAGAGTGCTTGCACAGGGTTTAACTGCAGCGCGGTTAAGGGTTTCCCGTTACGCGCGCAAACGGAAGTTTGGTTGGGAAATAAGGTCTGTTGTCGGTGCTTCTGGTCACGCCATTGCACTATCATATCACTGGCAGCAGGGCCAATTACCATGTTGGCCAATGCGCGACCCGGACTCAATGGGGAGCAGGGCCGGTGATCCGCAGGCCATTGCGCTACCCATTTTTACGGGCAGCAGGGCCAATTTCTATGTTGGCCATTGCACGACCCAGAATTTACGGGGAGCAGGGCCAGTGATCCGCAGGCTCGCGTGCACTTAATTCATGCTGAACGACCTTGCCGGCTAAGTCTTTTTGCCGCAACTTCTGTTTCACTTTGCACAGCTATTAGTTCATTTTGCATTTTATTCTTGGCTTTCTTGTAGTTCTTGCTGGGACCGAGTGCAGCAACCTGCTGTCGTTGAGGCCCGCCCACGCCAATAAAAAAAGCTTCTGTTCGGGTGCTTGGGCGCATCTTCCACACCAAGTGCCTCTCCGTCTTGCCGTTGCGAGGCCCTCTTTGGGAAGCTGGGCCAAGTGCACAAAACGGACGGGAAGGGCATGTTGTTTTGCCCGCCTTTCTTTTGGATGCTGGGCAATGTATGTGCCATTGCGTGACTCAGTCCGACTGGGAAGCGGGGCATCTGATGGCAGCTGCCAGGTGCCGGGCATGTCTTGCCAAACGACGTCTGCCGGCTAAGTCTGCTAGTCGCGGCCTGTCTCACCCTGTTATGCGTCTTTTCCTTCGCAGTTGATTTTGTTCTTGGCAATGTGAAGTTCACTGGGACCGAGTGCAGCAACCTGCTGTCTTTGAGGCCCGCCCACGCCAAAAAAAGGTCAATCCCTTTTTTGCCGCCTGCCACAAGCGTCCACATCTCTCTCCCGTTGCGCGTGAATGAATGGTGGTTGTGGTTGTGGTTTTTGTAGTGGTGGTGGTGGGCTCTGTCACATGTCAACACGTGCACTGCCACTCCAGCTTCGCACCCATTTTTTGTACAGAAATACAAGCTCTCCACAGTTTTCAGTTTCAGAGTGCACAGGTCGGTGCGGCATACCCACAAAATGCAGCATACTTGCTGTCGTCTCACTGCATGGCAGTGTACCTGCTCCACCGTCGCGTCGTTTGCCGATCCTACCTCGTAAAATTCATCGCATCTTTCCGGCAATGGTTCCGTGCATTTCCACACTTGCCTTGTTCTTGGCTCAGAGACGTTTGATCCGCTAGATGTTGTGAGCTTTGTGGAATCGCGTGAATGTTTGGTTTTCCTTGGGCCAAGAGGCAATGCACCGGTCTGTTTTTACAATGTGACTTCTATATTCCACTCATCATTGCGAGCTTCAGCCGATGATTGGCTAAGAAACAACGGCTGCAGGAATAAATAAAAGATACAGAACATGACGCAGCACATGCACAAGCCGAAGCGGAACTTGTCCCGTCGCTTGGATGCGATTGTTGTAGACACTTTTGTTTCGAATTGGGCGAGCCAACAGGCACAGGACAGTCAGCTTGTGCAAACGAGGCGTGCCTGCACAGCCACGAGTTTTCAGTCAGCATCTCGTGGCGCCTGCTGGAACAGAGTCCATCGGGTGTCCTTTTTGCAAGATGCTGTCGACGTATCAGTTGTAGGCCATCGCGTGTTGCGCTTCCATCTATGTCTTGACGCCGTTGCCTCGATCCCAGGTACGATGTGAATGAATCTGCTCAACATGTCGAATCTTGGTTGCGAATTTATGTGGGTTCGGTGTGTTCATGTCACTGCTGCAAGATAGCCCGTTGCTATGTCAGGACTACTTCGAGCGAGTTGGGCTCTTCAGCACGAAGTTCACACAAAGCATGTGGCTGTCATTCGGAGCATTCCGCTGGATCCTCCTGCTGGTCATTGGTGCTGGAGCTGGTGCAGTGCCTGTTCCGCAGGTAAATACAGGTAATCAAGGCAATGTGTGCACGAACAAACATGTCCCGCGAGCGTTTCCGTGGCCGAGGAGGGTTGTGCAGAGTTCCAGTCACAAAGTCTCCAGGCATCAGTTTTTCGACAGGCAGCAACCCAGAACATTGAGCTTTTGTGGCAGTTCATTTTGAGAAATCATTGGTGAAAGACCCTGAACGCTGACGGCCCACTAAGCCGAAGACACGAAGTCACTAAGAGGTGCATGCGGGATCTATGTCTGTGTGACAAGCATAGGTTCGGTCCTCGCACCGGCAGCTTCAAGTGCACATAAAACGTGCACGTCCCTTCCCCCACGGTGTGTCATTGTTGTGCATGTAAGCAGCGGGGTCTCAAAGCAAAGCCCATATAATCGGCATGGTAAAGACAGCATGCTTTCACGGGGTTCCGCATGGAGGGTATTGTGCCTGATGATACGTTTGATTGCACATTTGCATTATATTGCAGAAGACCGGACATGAACACATCAGAACTGTAATGTACTGGCTTTGCAGCCACCAAGCTTCGTCGACTTTCGTCAGCTGGATCGCTTGCTTGTAAGTGCTTAAGCTTGAATGGAGTTTCGTTCAAATCAAACGGTCAAGTGGGAGCACAAGGATTGCTTGGGAACAGGGTTTCCAACCCGTCCGCAAATATCATTTGCTTGAGGCTTTGTCGTCACATACTGTGTTCATCTCGCACAAAGCATTTTGCACTTATTTATCATATGATCTATTCATAATGGTGCATTGAGAAGTTGCTGACATGCATTCAAACGCTCCTGCTGCAGCCAAACGCGCATGTGTAAGGTTGCACGATGGCAAAACTCGCGCCTGGAATGCCGCTGGCGGAGAGCCCAATGCCATTGCCCGCCTCCAGCCTCCTGTAGAGCCGACGACCACGCACATGTCTCTTCCGATGATCGCCACATCGAAATCGTAGGCATACGGGTTCCCTGCCGATACTGCCGCCCGACGCAAACGATCGCCAAACGCACGCAGAGATGATGCGCGCTCGGCGCTGCTGCAAGGTTGTCGTTGGCATCACGGTCGAGGTCGGCCAAATGAGTGGCAGCAATTCACGAAAGCTCCTTTGGAACCCCAAAAAAGCCGTTAGATGTCTCACAATGTGAGCCTGGGATTCCGGGAGGTGGCAGGAAGGTAGGGCGTGATTTTTTTAGCTATTCCCCCGGGGCCGGGAACCCTTTGCTAGAGGATCCTTCTTCGGTAAAATGTCGAGCCTTACGTTGGTGGGGTACATGAATTGTATGTACGTATCCGCGTGGGCTGGTTTTTATCCTTATGCTCTCCACCCTCGCCCGGCCCTTTGCCATGCTGGGTCCTTCACTCCCCCCTCACCCCCGCCCTAACCCACATTTCTTATGTAGCTTGAGGCAATAACTCTGTAATTCCACTTCGAAATGACGTTTCGCAGAGTTCGCGGTTTTCTTCACATGGTCTTCGTGTGAGGGAGGGGGGCGAAGGCGGGAGGGGGAAGGACAAGCCAGGTTCCCATTCGGAACAGCCAGGTACGCAGCAGGCAAAAGGCTAGGTTCGCGTAAGGGCAGAAACCGTCAGCAGAAACAACAACTCGGAGCATAAGGGGGCAGACCCTTGGCATAAGAAAACAAACCATGCCCTATATAGCCTACATTTGCTTCGTCTACCTATGTCTACCTGTGCGTCTGTCTGTTTGTCCGTCTATGATAGGTGTGTATGCATGTCCGTCTCTCCGTGTCGTGTGTCACCCACTACAAAATTTTGGTCCCAGCCCCCGGCTCTCAAGTTGGCTGTGGCTCGGAGTGTGTGGGTCGCCTACCGCATAGCGCGCTCTTGCCGCCTCCCTGCTCGAGCTCACTCCCGCTGACAAGCAGGCAAGTTCTAGTCAGTCGGGGACTGAGTTGCACAAGGTCCTCTACGACACGCGCTCGTCCGTCACCAGCATTGTGCATTTGGTTGTTGTGCGCTTCCGCGATAGGTAATTGGTCGGAACCGGACTTCGTTCTACATGTTATCAGCATCTGCCATTTGCCTCCAGCTATGCAAGCATCTCAGCCTCAGTCCGGCACAGGTCGGCATTGCTTTCGTTCGCAAGCTGGCCTGTATTGGCCTGTCCTTTCCCTCTCTCTTGCCGGAACCCGCGACATTATTGGGAAGCGACGGAAACCCCTTCCCTCTCCGACTTGCTCGCCGATTCCCGCGAAACGCCACCCTCCCCTGATGCCGTCAGAGCAAGCTGCAGAATTGTGACCCAGCAGCATGAGTCCGGAAACAACCGTAGAATCTGAAACAAGAGGATGTATACAGAACGGGCAGATATGCCATATCAGATCATAGCTGCCCAGACACACCGACCGCAAAGTATTAGTGCAAATTCCTCGGCCCAAAAATGTTGTTGGCCTTAGGCAGAGCGAAGAGGGCTGCAGAAACACCCTTGTGCGGGCCCGGCGGGATCAGCCGAACATAACCGTCCAAACAAATTGAATTGATTTTTTGAAGATTGCGCGAAAGGGGCCCAACCACCATACCTCACTTATCACGGCCACGCCAAGAGGGAACTGACGCAGCTTCTTGTCCTGTACTGGTGCTGCGGATGACAGCCGTATAGAGCTCGGGGCACCCGTAGTTGCGTGCTAATTACGGCTGTCGACGGAGCCGCACTGCGAGTGGCTGAGCGCCGCAAGCACGCCGTACCCGGAGCTCACGCGGGGCGGGCCGCAGAAACTGGTGCTCGGCTCGGAGGTCGGCGGCCGCTGAAACGCTCAGGCTCGCCGCTTCGTGTGGGATCGTTTGCGCCTGTGAAGGCCGACCGTCGGGACAACCTCGATGCGCCGTGCATCGGCTATAGTTACACTCATGTTTGCGAGCCGGTTGTCGCGGCCAGAGTGGCACAAGAAGAGCGGTGGTCGTAAAGCTGCCCCCGACAGCTACATGTGCACGGCGCAAGAGGGAGTGGGAACTGCAAGCGGTGCAGCATGGCGAAGCAAAAGGATGCGAAACAGCGGACCCGGAATGCTCACATGTCGCGCGGCACCGTCCGCAGAGCTTGAGCGACGTCGGCGTCAGTGAACACGGCTGGCGAGTTCGATTGGAAATTGAGCAGGGCACGACAGGCACCCCGTGCAGCGGCACTGGCGGGCCCCGTGCCAGATCAGACATGGCATCGACGGTTTCGTCTGAGGCCGGGGCGTGCGCTGCACCGCGGCACATTTTGGCATGCGAGTGCCGGGCGCAGTGTGCGAGCGTCGCCGTCGAGACCTGTGGGCACGGGTCCCCGAACCCGGCTGTGCTGTCACCGCGAAGCGCCGTGAAGATATCAAACCCTGCGTTCGCACGCGCCCGGCGGTGCTGCCTCGTAGTTGTCGGCATCGCAGTTGGCGGCTGGTTAGGAACCGAGACGGCAGGTTTGGCACCGAGACAGTGCAGCTTCTGCGCCTGCTCGCGCGATGCCGGCCCAAGTCTGTCCCCGCCCCTTCCAGACCGGCCGCTCTCACCACCTGGTTGCGGTTCTTGGTTGTTGGAACGCAGCGCGCGCTGGCAGCCTGTTTGCTGGAGTTGCTGCCCCGACGGTCTCAGCGACGGATCCGTGCCCGACCTGCAGGCCGCGGTCCTTCCCAGATAGCGCCAGCACAGTTGTACCCGGATAGCGCCAGTATTGGTTTCGGGCAGGGATTGTGTGACCGGTCGTGAGTCAGCTTTGATACCATCTTTTCAGATGAGCCGTTGTGAAATTCCTCCTCGTCCCGCCGAAACATGCAGGTTCGGGGTGGGTGGGAGGCAGCACGTCCCATAGCATTGCCTGCAGCTGTTGCAAGCTTGTAGCTTTTGTGCCGCAATGGGCCGTGGAAGCGGCTGTGCGCAGCTGCTACAGTTGATGAGCCGCCTAGTGCTGCTCTGCGTCTTCATGTCCTGCATTGTTGGCCCACCACCGCCTTGCTCCGCCCCGTGCCAGTGGCTCAGCTGCCGTCGCGGCTGCGCCACAGACCGCGAGCCACCTAGCGGCGCGGGGTTGCCACATCCAGGCTTGGGATTCCAGGCCTACGGCATGCGGCTGGCAAAAAGGGAGGCTGCTCGGAAGAGTGAGCCATGACGATGTCTTCTGTTGGCGGTGCCGGACAAGGGGAGGGAAAGGAGGCTGGCGGCAAACTTTTGCAGCGGGTGTGTACCCATCGGGCATCGTCACAAGTTGCCACGCCCAAAACCAGGTGCAGTGCACTTACGTGTTGCTGGTGAGGGCATTATTCTTTGCAGCGACAGCCAGCAACAGCTGTGCTTCAGGCAGGGGCAGCGCACGCCTTTCTTCGGTTGCAAGCTGCTGCAAGGTATGCAAGGCATGCACCAACGCGGCAGGTTGCAGAGGGGGGGCTTGACGAGGGGTGTCTCCAATGCAAGCCGGCCAATGCAGACGCTGCTGACTGCAACAGCGGATGATGCTCGTCAGCAGTGGAGTTGCAACGCATGCAAACCCATTCAGGTGTCCAACGCTCGGAAAGCCGAGACTGCACGGGTGCCCAACGCATGTGGCGATCCGGCAATTCTTGCTAGACACCGTCCGACCCCGCATTGGCAAAGTCTGCTAGGAACAACCGCAGACAACCAAACGGTAGGAGGGGATTCGGGGTGCGAAAGTATGCTGGTGTTGATGCGAGGTGGTGTCGTGATCCGGGGCTGGCGCCGGGACAGCATGTGTGAGGCAGGTGCTGGTAAACACATGAGCGGCTTGGGGCGGCCATGGGACGCGCAACAAGGCCAGCGGAAGGGCGTCTCTCGGCTTCGAGGGTGCTAAGGGAAATCACATAGGCAAATCGGGCATGCACTTGTTGGTGGGCATGCGGCCATCGCGCCGTGCGAACATCCGGTTCCTTCCCGAAGATTGCCTGGCTCTGGCCTGAGTGCATCCAGTTCTCTGGGGTCGAGACAGCTCAGCTCCGCTCCTTTTCCTTGACGCCTGGCAGCCTGGCACTTGCCTTGGAACGTCCCTGAAACCGTGTGGCGCTGTCCGTGCCGGTCCACCCGGTTTCCAGACTCATGATCATCGCAGCCTACACTTGGCGCCGCCACATTGCCTCCTTTGCCTCGACCCCCCAGCTACCGCGGGCGACCCTGGGGGCAACCTGGTTTTGTTTTCGGTCTTTGTTTGCAAGTTATGGGATGTTATAGGTCCCCAATGTCCTCAACGCATGGCGGACACGTCCCCCGATTGCTTGCCTGGACAAGCCACACCTGTCGCGCCCGTGGCAGGGCTCAATGCTGTGTCTGTCAGTGCGATTACAGTGCTTGACCCCCCCCACTCCAACATTTCCTCAGCCAATGCATTCGAAATACATGTCTCGACCCTGCTGCTTTCCCGGGCTGGGCCGCACGCGCACTTTTTTGCTTCACGGTCCGCCCCACGGACAAAGGAGTCACCATCCCCTCCGCAGGGTGGCAGGTGCTTCTGCTTCGCCGCCAGCGCCTGCCACGGCCTCTGGCCCCGCGAGTCTGTGCATGCCGTGGGCTGCTGGACCCGCCGGGCGACCATCGAGCAGCATGTGCCAAGACGAGCGATGGCTTGATGCCCGCGGACTTAGGTTAGACGTGCACGACGTAGCTTGCGGGGTGCACTTGGACCGCGCATGTCACCGTTGCAAACAGTGTGCGGTGATAAGGAAAAAAGGGACCCCGCGCTCGCTGCGGACGGCGGCGGGAAGCATGCAGCCGTAAGCCGATCGCTTTGGGAACGCTCGCACACATGCGGGAGCGTAGGACAACGTAGATGCTTCGAGACTTCTCACAGCCGGAAGAAAGCTTGTTGGGAAAAACTGGGGCCGGCTGTTCGCAGTTTTCCAGCGGCGAGTATGCAGGGTGTGGCGTACATCCGACCATGCTGCCCATGGGCACTGGTGCAGTGGAAACTGAAGCTTTGGATCTCACGGGGCGGTGCCGAGCGTGCCCACAGGCTTCGCACAGGGGCGAGTTGGCCAGCGAAAGCCACAAGGTAATTGCTTCCCGCTGTGTGCAGCTTTGCAGTGTGCATGGCAAGGGACGTCGGACGATTGAATGTTCCCGCGCTTAACCTTGGAAGAAACCTTGAACGAGATCGCAACGAGCATTGGGTTGAGGTTTCACGGCATACAACCACAGCCCATGTTGAAAACGGTGCAATAAAGGCTTCGGATGCACAGATGAAGTTCGCAATCTCTTTCCGACACTTGTTTGCTCTGTCTGGTCGGCTGGTCTCACAGAGACATTTCTTACGTTATTCCAGGCAGTAGCAGAGCGCGCCACAGGAGCCGCCTCCTCCCTCCGCCACCTTGCCCGGGACGATGCTGCCAGCCGCCGCTCTGGGTCCAGATCCTTGCGATGCAGGAAAAGCGCTCCACCTGCACGAGGTTCTCGCCGAATTCCGGGGTGGCCCTCCGCTGCTCGCAAGCCGCCGGTCGGCGCTCCGAACCCGCCCGCAGGCTGTCTCGTTCGTGCACTGGGACCGCGGTCGCTGTTCGAAAAGAGGTGCGGGGCCTCGGAACCTGGGTGCGGTCGCCGCGCCGATGCACTCGGAGACCATGCACCTGCATGTCCGCGGACAGGTCTTCTGGCTAGGCGGTTGGTGCAAAGTTGCACGCGAGGCCGTAGGGCCTCAGGGACACCAACGGCGCCAGGAATCGCACCCGATGACCGCAGGCCCCTCGACTTGGTCATCTACGGCGCCGCACCCCTGGGCGGAGCCCTTTGCTGCGATGCGACCCTGGTTTCGGATCTGACGCGCGATGGCGAGCCTCACCCCGGCGCGACCGCACAAGATGAGCAGTTCTGCGCACCGTTCTGCGCCGCAGGAATGCCACCTACCCCGAGCTCGCTGCAGGCAGCGTGCAAACCCTGTGCATGCTCGGTTGCCAAGTGGGTGGACGATGGAACGCGGACGCAGTGCAGCTGGTGAGGCGCTTCGTTGGTCTCCGTGCGCACAGAGCCCCACCGGCTGTGCGAGGCACTGAGAAAGCAGCGTGGGCCCGCCGATGGTGGAGCATGCTCCCAGTGGCTGTCCAACAAGCCGTCGGCCACACAGCGCTCGGGCGTGCTAGGGCCATGCCGGGACCGGCGCATACCGATATGCCGGCCCTGGACGAGGTCTTGGACTTGGCCGGGCCGGACGGGCTGAGCCGCCTGCCGCTGCGATGAGTCGGCCCTAACCGGGGACCGACTCTTCTTCGGTGCCTTGGAGCCGGACACAGCCGCTGACGGAAAAGTGCGCGGAGGTAGGGTTGCGTATTGGGCTCACTTTTTTTACTTCGCTTGTGCCTCAAGGGGCTGCGGTTGTAAAGTTTAAGCACAGTTGGCTCAAACCCCTTAATTCTCTACAAGCTACGGCTACATGCTAGCCTAAGGCTACTGTAGACTACAAAAATCTCGCACCCCCCTTCGAGGTTGGGGTTTGAGAAAGGCACCTCCCGCGGGGCATCCCGCAGTCAGAGGGTGAGACGCCCCTGGTAGGGCGGAGCGTCCCGCACACAGGGCTGGCAGCCGTAAGGCTCGCCCTGCGGTGCTACCCGCTAGGGGCCTCTAGGGAGGAGGCTCCCAGCGGCGGCAGTTGTTCACCGCACTGCCGGGCTTGGTGCTTTGGCTGTGTCTGATCGTTGCCCCTTCCATGAATGGGCAACCGCGCTGTTGGCCGTGATGCCGGCGCACGATGCGGCCGGTGGCCACTTGTAAGGCGAACCCGGTCCAGAGGAACTCGGAGTTTTGAGGATCTGCTGCGCAATGGCAGCGAAAGCCGATCAGGATTTGGTCCGCTGGGACGGAGCTCAAACCATTACAGTTGGTGAACAGGTGGATCTTGTCACCACGGGCTGTCTCGTAGAGATGCTCGTCGTCACCGGACAGGGGTTCCGGTCCCCTACGCCTGCAGCGGGCGGCGGTGGTGGAGGAGCTGCCGCAGGGGGCGGACCTGGAGTCCGCTCACCCTCAGGTTCTGGCTCCTGAGCCCCCCTAGGCTGTTGCTCCCTCCTTTCTTCTTGCGCCTCTTGTGGCGCTTCTGGCCCTAGCCAGACCTCCGTGGCCCTTTGGGCTTCGGCACGCTCAGCGTGGTGCTCGATCTCATCTTCGGGCTCTGGCTCCTGCCCTTCAGGTCTGCGTCTGCAGAGCCAGGAGACCAGGCTCCAAAGCATCCACAAGAAGGCTAGGAAGCCAAAAGCCGCGAAGCCGAGCACCAGCTCAGCAAAGTCGTGCCCTTGGGCCTTGGCAGGTCGTACCTGCAGTGCCACGATTGTGGCCATGAGCGCCGAGCTCGTGAGCTTGGTCGGCGGTCTCATCTTCCAGGGGCTAGCTTGGATTCTTGATCGTGCGCTTTTGGGCCAGAGCCTCGGCGGCGCCTGCGACTGCATCGAGGTCCACCATGCCCATGGAGGGCAGGGATTGCCGCACCTCCGAGGGCGAAGTCTTTCTCCGCAAGCCCTCGTAGGAAGACGGCCTCCCTTGCTGCTCGCGACACTCCCCGGATCTCCGCGTCTCCGCTGGAGGTGGCTGGGAGGCCGGGCTGTGTCTGGCAGCTTGTCTGGATGACTGCTCCCCCGAGACAGGCAACTATGTTGTCTGTGCTCCTTCTCGTTTCTGGGCACCCTGCCCAGTCGGAGTCGGAGTAGACCTCCAAGTTCAGAAGGGCTGTGCTCTTGGACGCGAGGTTCAGCACAACTACCCTTCCAAACCGCGGGGTTAGGGTTTCCGCAGCGATCCAGTCACAGACCCTTGGGTTCTGCATTCTCGAGCACTACCCACGGCGCTGCGGAACCTCGCGGCAGCGTGCTTGCTGTCGGGCAGCGTGAGGATAGAGTCCTCTGTGCGCACCTTGGTCCTTCCCAGGACCTCCACCGCTGTGCCCGGCTCTTCCAGTTCTCCCACCGTTATCTCACAGTGCGTCGGAAGGTCCACCTCCGTGAACTTCAGCACTGCGGCCTTGGGGCCTGCGACACGGATGTCGTCGATGTGGTGGAGAAGGATCAGGCCGGACCGGCGGTCTAGGTACACGCACGGGTCCTTCACGCCACGCTGGAAGTCGTAGTCCTTGGCCAGCTTGCCAGTGAGGACTTCTTCCAGCTCGTCCCTGTAGACGGACCCAGCCGTTCTTCGACCGTAAAGGTTGCCGTCCACACGGAACACAAAATCCCGGAAGTGGTCTCGGTACCACTGCTGGTCCTTTGCAGGCTGCTCCAAGACACATTGGTCAAAGAGCTCGCGCCATTCCACAGGCGCATACATGTAGACCGGGCGGCCTTCCGCCGCACCGCGGTCCTTCCCTATGAGGAAGGCGGCCACAACATCCAGAGACCTTGTGACCCACCCTTCGTTGTGTAGCGCTGCTACCTCAAGACGGGAGTGACTCTCGGGCGTTGGCGTTGGGACGAAAACGTCCAAGCCAGCTTCCTGTTCTGGGCTGTAGCGGGCCTTAACGTCGGCACAGGTACACCTTGACTTGTACCGTCCTTTGTCGCACTTGTCGACCCACTTTGCCCTGAACAGCTGCGCCCCGCGCAGTACTTCAGACCGCAGCATAGGCGTGAAAGCGCCTCGGTCCTTGCGTGCTTGCTCTACCTCCTTGGGGTCGAGCATCCGGTCTAGCAGGTCTGTCACCTGCCCAACCCACGCATCCCGCTCGCCCTTGTGGTTGGTGAGCGGCGGGTCGGCTAAGGCAGCGATGTGCTGCCACACCTCGCGCTCCGTGAGCGCTCCTAGCCGTGGTGCCTTCTTGGGCTCCACCCGGCTCTTAGCTGCAGGCGGCTGCTGTGCTGCCGCTGCGCTCGCGGAGGAACCCGCAGAGTTGCGCTTCTGCCCCCTTCACCTGAGCCGTCGTTGGCGGCTTGTGCGGGGCTTGCCGCTTGTGGCGGCAGCGCGCTTGCTGCGGAAGGTGTTGCCTCCACGTCTGACGGCTCGTAGTCGGGCACGTCTGCGTTGGCTAGCTCCTCGGTGGGGCTAGCGTCCGGGAGCCTACTGGCCTGCTCGGCCCCTTCGACCAAGAGGGCCTCGTCGTCGGGCCGTGGCCCGTCGTGGAAGAGCCAGGGCTCTCCGGGCGGTTCTAGCCGCTCCACTTCCTCGGCCGGCGTGGCCAGAGGGATTGGCACCATCATTGGCTCGCTGCGCTCTGCTGGCGCTGCGCGGCCAAATCTATAGGGTTCCAAGGCAAGCCGCACGCCTTGAGAACGACTGCCGTCTGGTGCTGGGTCTCCGGTGGGAGTCGCCTGACGCTCCTCACGTTGAGTGCGCCAGCTTCGGTCAGCACCACGTGGGAGTCGTCGCGCTCTAGCTTGCCGGCCCAGACCCCTTTGACCCAGCACACTTGCGCTTTGTTCCCAGGCCTTGGGAGCTTTGCTAAAACGGTTTCCCCAAAGTCGGTGCCTGTGGCTGCCCGATATGGCGTCACCCCATCCGTTGACTTTGTCCCGAAGCGGGCCTGCAGCCAGGCCACGTGCCTGACAAGCCACGGGAACAAGTTGGACGAAGTGTCCCACTCTAAGGCGGGGTAGTCCGCTCTCAGCTGCGAGAGCCAAGTGCGAACCTCACCTGCTAGGTGTGCGTTTCTTCCCTCTACGGATCCTTGGCTTTGGTGTGACCCGCGAGGGGCATCTCGAAGACGCACCCTAGCAGCTCCCAGCCGGCGGTGGACCGCGCGGGCCACAGAGGCTATGGCGTTCTCCTGGTCGACCTGTAGGGTAAACTTGTCGTACCCCAGCCGATCCACGAACTGCTCCAGGAGCCCTGCGGCGTAAGCCGCGTGTCTGTGCCCTTTGTGCGCCACGGGAACCGACAGAGTCCAGCCAGTGGCCCTGTCTGTGAGGTTCAGCACCGTGGCAAGCGACGCTTCTTCCTCAACTTCTTTCCCGTCCCGGCTGTAGAACTGATAATCCATGGTGACTAAAGGCGTCACCGGATCATCTGAGGGCTCACGGCGGCGGTGAGGGTCCTCGCGCGCCTTTCCCTCCACGCACTTCTCGAACCACGCCTGGTAGGGCGTGTGAGTGAGCTCGTGCTCGGCGCGTTCCTGCGCCGTGGGGTTGCGCGGTGCCCTTAGGCTGCGTGGCCTTGAGTCAGGCTGCTCGGCCTGCTCCTCGAGAGGGGCGGGGTTACCCGCAGCCTCCTCCTCTTCAGCAGCTTCGGCCTCTTCGTCGGCTGCTGCTTCCATCGCCGCGTCCTCCACCTCTCGAGCTTCGAGGTCGTGCTCCGGGATATAGTCGTAGTGTCCCAAGTCTCGGCCTGGGCTCGGTGGCTCTGCCGCCACCGGTGCCACCCGGTTTGTGGACCCCGGCGGGAGCTCCCGCTCGTAGGGTAGGAGGAACTGTGACCCTCTCTTGAGGATCGAGGCTCGGACGCCGTCGGGCCACAAAATGTGGCTGTCCTCTCGGTAGAGGGGTCGCTTAGCCAACTTTTTTTCGGGTCGCTTAGCACGCTCCAGTTTTGGTCGCTTGGCACGCTCATTTTCACAGGTGTTGGAAGCCCAACAAAGAACCCAAAAAGGAAACCCTAAACCTTAAACCCTCAAAGCCTCAAAGGAAACCCAAAACGCTAAACCCTAAACCCTGAAAAGAAACCCTAAACCCAAAACCCCCTGAACCCTACACCCAAAACCCTAAACCCTAAAAGGAAACCCTAAACCCTAAACCCTGGACCCTCGGAACCGGCCAGCGGCAGCAGGGACCCACGACCGTCTGCAAGACCACGGTGTGTGAGCCCGATCAATGTCACCCAGCCGATTAGCTCAACGGAGGCAGTGACACTGTGGAAATGGCTGTTGTTTGACAGGTTTGCCTTCGCACCATCGCCTCCAGGTGTTGGGCGTGTCCCCGACAGTTTTCTTCCTCGAGACACCTTGCAAAACGTCAGCAGCGTGCACGAGGGCATGCATCAGGCCAACAGGCTGCAGAGCACGATCGCCTTGGTGACGGTTCTGAGATATCTGATGGCAGAATTGTCACAGGTGCTTTCTGTGGCGGAAGCCATAGCCCGTACCCAGGAAGGCACGATGGAGTCCTCTGATCTTGACCAAGAGGAGGATGGTGGAGATGGAAGCACTCTCATGCAGACGCACCTTGCCGAGTTCACAGGGTCGGCTGGGGCCGACACCAGCAGCATGAGATGGTCGCGGGCGCTGCTCCGTCTACAGAAAGAGTTGGTGGGGCAGCCAAAGCAACAACGTCTTCGACATCTACGGCTGCTTCGCATGGGTACGGGGGCGATAGAGGCGGTCAATGGGGACAACTGGGCACAGCTACATGCCCTGCTCCTGTCCATGATGCTGGACTGTGAGGGAGTTGTGGAGGGTGGCTCTTCAGATATGACATGGTTATCCTCGTGGGTGACAGAGCTGTCTGAAGGCATCCCGGGCTTCGCGATTCCAGTTGAACCTGTGAGGGTAGACTCTCAGGAGGGCGCGCCGGACCCTGGACACGGACCCAAAGCAGAGGAGGACCATGACTTTGACCAACTACTACGAGACGAAGAAGAGGAGCGCCAGTGGCAAGAGGCCCGACGTCGAGAAGAAGATGAAGAAAACGAACGGCTCGCGAAGTATCAGGCCATGGCTGAGTGTGAGGCGGAGCACTTGCAGAGTCAAGCGGAGGCCTTCCAACGGTGGGAGGACCGACAGATGCAGGCGGAGCTGGCTGGTCACATGCCACCCAAGAAACGGCGCTGCGTGCTCACTCTGGAGGTGGCATCGGGAAGTCAGGATCGGCCAACGATCCTTCAGACGGCCGAGATGGAGGTGCCAGACAACGGAACCTTGACGATGACACTTCGAGCTCAGATGCGTGGGAACCCAGAAAGCACGTCTACCATCCCGGTTCCCCAGGATGTGCCAGGGCGAGCCACTCCAAGTGAACAGGGATGTCCTAACACTCGTCTGGATGCAGCACCGGAACTGTTGCCCTCGGTGGACTTCGCAGAGTTTGAAATGGTATACCAGCAATGGAGGGCAGGGAGGCTCGACGCTGGACAGATCCGGGCCCGATATGGCCGGGAAATGATGGAGCTCATGGAAGCACAGTTGGCCGTGGGGGAAGCTGCGGGCAGCGTCCTCTGCGGACACTCCGACCGGGCGAATTACAGCCAAAGACTTGGTGCAGGGCAAGAGTCCGCTGGTAGCAGTGGGTCAACCTCGCCCAGGGTACGGCCTGTTCGAAAATGTCTATGCCCAATGGCGGGATGGCTGGCGAAGTGATCTGCAAGTGCTGGACACCTTCGGGACCGTCTGGTTGGAGCTCTTCAGGGCCTGGAAACAGTGGGGCCTCGACAGCATCCACGGACTCTTGTCGGGGTCCTTGACATGACCCATGGTGGGGCGGAAGCTGGAGTCCCGGTGATTCAGGAGGGCATGAGCATTCCGTTGCCTATTCGTATTCCTTTCTCGGTGGTTGGGCGAGTGTTTCGCCGATGGTGCCGCGGGGAGCTCACGGACGTACACATCTTGGAGCGACATGGGGCGGTCTGGCTGGTGCTGTTCCAGGCCCTTCAGGTGCAGGGTTTGACGGATGTGGTGAGGGCCTCGTTGGAGGGCATGGTGGCTTGGGATGTGCGTTCGATGGCGGAGCTTCCTGATGACGAACATGGAATGGTGGTGGCGAATCCGGAGGCACAGCCACAACAGGAGATGGGAGCGACGTTGATGGATGAAGTTGATGGTGCTGTGGAGCCGAATGGAACAGTCGGGTCAAGCCAGATGCCTGCGGTCGATGAGGGTCGTTTGTCGAATGGGCTTGATGGAGCTCGAGGGTGACTACGCGTGATGCCTAGTCCAGAGGTAGCCTTCCACACAAGTGGATTCGCCCAACCTTAGATGCGAGGTCGAAAAAGGCGTTCAAAAAAAAAACCTGGACCCTAAACCCTAGACCCTAAAAGGAAACCCTAAACCCTGAACCCTAAACCTTAAACCCTGAAAGGAAACCCTAAACCCTAAACCCTCAACCCTAAACCCTAAAAGGAAAGCATAAACCCGAAACCCTGAACCCGAAACCCTAAACCCTAAAACCTAAAACCCTAAACCCTAAACCCTACACCCTAAACCCTCAAGTCCCCATAAATTGAGCTTGCGTATTACACCGTGCGTGGTATTCCATTGCATTCTTTTCAAATTGAAGCAAATACACTTAAAATCATATCCTTGGATATGCATAGCCGCTTACACAAGTTGTTGCAATCGAGTTTAAGTACATTGAATTAAATATTCTGCCACCACCACCACCAAAATGCAATCGAGTTTAAGTAAATTGAACCAAATCTACAAATACCAATACTAATACGAGATTTAGGGTATAGAATATTGAACTTAGGTCACCCTTTCCCTGTTTTCTTATTCTCTTATTCCGCTATTTTCGTTATTCCCTTGTTTCCCTATTTCCCTATGTCCTGATTTCCTTATTTCCCTATTTCCCTATCTTGTAGGGAAACTAAAAAAAGGAAAACCCAAAACAAACACAGCCTCTGAGAGGGCAGGCAAAGCCCCCTCTGTGGGTTGGTGAAGTTCCTCTTGGAAGGATCTGACAGGGCTGTACTGGGTTGTATTGGGCGGCCCAGACCCTTGCTAGCCTCTGAAAGGACAGGCAAGGCCGCCCCCCCCCCCCCCCCCCCCCCCCCCCCCCCCCCCCCCCCCCCCCCCCCCCCCCCCCCCCCCCCCCCCCCCCCCCCCCCTCTGAGATGTAACCTGGACGTGTATCCCCTCGCTAGGCGTACAGGAACACAGGCACTCAGGTGTCTCTTTTGCTACAGGCGCACAGCTGTAGTCCACTGCACTAGAACCTTGAGCAACAGGCATGGATACATACAAGTGATACGTGAAACAGACAGGCACCTGGATGTGTAACATTCAGTGTTTCAACCAGGCACAAATTTAAAACACGTAGAGCTGCATGGCCGTGGAGTCGGCATTCAACTAGCCTGTTATTGCTCTCGGTCGAATTAGCGGAGTATTGAGCTACATCTGCGACTTGAAGAAAAACTATACATTCTCTCACCTGAAGACAGCTTCACTGAAAAGAGCAGAACACGCACGAAACGCAAACGGATCTTCAACTGAAAACTTTTGCTTGAAAGTTGCCCACTTGTGTTTCAGTTCCCTCTCCAGGTGGAAAGCATACTGTAACATAAAAGGCTGTAGAGCTTAGCTCCACTTGATGCCAGCATGACATCTTGCGACACGGCAAATGTATAAGGGCATTAGAAGTATCTTATCCTGAGATAAGTATCTTTCTTTGAGAAAGAGTTCTTTAGGAAGTCCCTTTTCCTGAGAAAAGCATCTCCCTATGAAATGGCGAATGCTCAAAGTGGATACCTTCTTATGAAAGAAGCATTCCGTGAAACACACAGCCAGTTCAGTCGACGAACTCTAGGTCTCGATCCCAGGTTCTATCACGCCAATGATCAGCACCATGCCAACGGTAGATGTCGACAGTGTGAATCGGCATCACCGGCTGATGACGAACAGGGTCGTAACCGCGGGGATCAGCAGGGGATCTAGGTAGCGATATCTGTGGATCTGGAGCAACGTCTTCAACTTGTTCCAAAAGAACTTCTTCAGAATCATTGTCCATATCCACGTCCGAAGAATCGGAACCTAGTCAGTTTTTTCCCCTTGTTCTTGCCCTTGGACTTGTCCTTGGATTTGCCTTTGGACTTGCCCTTGTCGGTGTCCCTGCCTTTTCCTTTGGAGGACTTGCCTCCTTTGCCGCCTTCTTTGCCACCAGGAGGTTGTGCGGGTTCTTGAGGACGTTGAGAATCCAGAAGCTTGAGCACCAGAAGCTGCCTCTTCCTGAGAAGAGCTTGCTCCGTGTGGTGCGGCTGCAGGACCAGTAGAACCAGAACCAAGCGCCTTGTTCAGCTTCTGTCTCTCTTTTCTCCTGTCCGCGGCTTCCTTCACGGTGTCGGGATTACGGTTAAGCGCCCTCATCCTGCCTCCAGAATATTGGTTCGCGTGAACCTCGATGAGGAGCGGAGTGTGAGCGTCATAGTCCCGATCGTTGAGAAGGTACGCGGCGCTGGTGGAATTCAACAGCCACTCGGAGACATGGATGTCGAACTCGGTCCTTGAAGCTGGAAATTCAGCCCATTGGTTGTCCGACATGCTGTGTCCCCATTCCATGACTGTCGCCATAACAGGGTCCAGACCAGGAAAAGTATTCCAGTCCGGTTGCT